ACTCACAGAGATCCACCTGCCTCTGACTCCCAAGTGCTGGGATTAAAGGCAAAGCCACCATGCCCAGCTGGTGATTTTATTTTCAAAAAGTGTTAACTGAGGGACTGGAGAGATGGCTCAGGACTTAAAAGCACTGGCTACTCTTGAAGAGGACCTGTATTCGATTCCCAGCACCAACATGGCGATTAACAACTCCAGTTACAGGGGATATGACGACCTCTTCTGATCTCCATGAGCACTGCAGAACAAGGTGCACTTACATACATGCAGGCAATACAGACACATAATACAGACACATAAAATAAAAATAACAGGGCCTGGAGAGATGGCTCAACAGTTAAGATCACTGACTGTTCTTGCAGAAGACCCAGGTTTGAATCCCAGCACCCACATGGCAGCTAACAACTGTCCGTAACTCCAGTTCCAGGGGATCTGGTGGCCTCTTCTGTCCTCCGCGGGCATTGCACGACATGGGTACACTTACCTATATGCAGGCAATACATGCATACACATAAAAAATAAAAATAATAAAATATTTTTAAAAAATAAAAAATAAAAATAGCAAATAAAATATTTAAAATTTTTTGATTCAAGGGATGGAGAGATGGCTCAGTGGTTAAGAGCACTGACTTCTCTTGCAGAAGACCCAGGTTAGATTCCCAGCACCCACATGGAAGCTAACAACTGTCTGTAACTTCAGTTCCAGAGGATCCGATGCCCTCTTCTGACCTCCATGGTCATTGCATGACATGAGTGCATTTACACACACGCAGGCAATACACTCATACAAATAAAATAAGAATAATAAAATATTTTAAAATTCTCAATTGAATGGTTGTGAAAAGACATAGATCACAGTATTAAAAAGAAAAACATCAAAGATATATTTCAGAACTGTACTTAAAACACAAAGCCCCTTCTAAGAGAAGGCTCATTCTTCCACACTTCAGCCAGGATTCAGCTTCTCTGTAACACTCATGTTCCTAAATGAGAGAAACAAGCAGACTCCAAAACTGGAGACATTTATTTACAAGGAATCAAATTACTATGATAGTCATCACTTCTGTTTATTTGAGGCAGGATCTCCCTGTAGCCCCAGATGGCCTGAAACTTACTATATAGACCACATTGGCCTTGATCTCACAGAGATCCCATGTGCTGGGATCAAAGGTATATGCCACCAAGCTTGGATAAAGATGATTTAATGATTACTTTTTAAACTTCTTTATTTTACAACTTATTTTTAAAACTTGTTATTACTTTTTGGACAAGGTCTCACTTTCTAGCTCAAGCTGGCCTCATGTTGGAGCTACTGCACTCAGTTCTACAACTTGCTTTTGATATGCAGGAAAGTGTAGATTTAGAAATTTTTTACACAGATACAAATAAAAAAAAGATCACTGAATTATTTTAAGTAATTTCCTAACTTCAACAATAATCTTGGCCTAGGCATCATTAATATATAAACATAAAATGATTCAGTAAATGAGGTACATATGGATTTCACCAAGACTAAATGTCTAACTCTGACAGGAAACAGCAAACCATTTTTTTTAATTCTAGAGAACTCAATTATTAATGCCTTTTTAGAATCTAGTCACTAGCCAAATGCCAAGTCTCTCCAGAGATATAGAGGCTCTCCCAAGACAAATTATGAGGGGTTCAGCAGAATGATGTGTTAGGAACACATTCAGAGTAAACTCACAAATGACAACAGCATCTCTAACAATGACAGCTAGTATTTATAATAAAATATCCTTAACATTATATTAAGATCTTTAAAGTATCATCTTATTTAATTATAACAATGTCAAGAATTAATTTTACTATTATCTCAAAACTTAGGCTCTAAGTATTTAATCTGCCCAAGGTCACACAATAAGGCTGAAAGCAGAACCGAATCTAAATCCAGGGTCTATGATTTAACCATAATCTCATACTGGGGAAGGGAAGGCAATGATCAACTTCAATGACAGAATGTCTTCTCTGAGTTATTTTTACCAATTCTGTAGCAAATGTCTTACTGTTCCTATGCTGCTAAAGCTGTACTGATATGTTGATATAAAATTCAACAAGGTAATTAGAATTGAATTCTAAAGTGTCTTATCAATTTCCAGCTATCAGGGAAAGAATAGCAAATTGAAATGCAGCCATTTCTTTTTCAGTCATTATATTATATGAGCTTTTAAACAATTCAATTATATGTTGGTACCTCCAGGGATGTTATTATGAAATGAAGCATTTTTAGAAAAAAAAACTGGCTTCATTTTGACAGAAAACAGGTTTCAACTTTTTCTTGTATATCACCCAGCTCATATGAATGAAAGCATCTTTTATGTTCTTGGAATAAGTGCTTTAATATCAAGATTAAATGGATTTCAAGAAAGATAAACAAATATCAAATAAACAACAAACAAAAAGGAAGATAGGGAGGGAGAGGATCAGAGTCTCTTAGAGTCATCACCTTCTCTGCGCCAGAGAGATGGCTCAGAGGGTAAAGTGCAGTGCAAGCCCAATGATCTGAGTTTGATCCCTGAGTGCCTTGGTTATCCTCTGACTTCCACATGCAAGCTATGTATACAGGTGTCCACCACACATCAAAAAATATGTACACACATAAATAATAAACAACTTTTTAAAAGAGAAACTAGAATGAGTCTCAGGTAATAAACTAGCTGAATCCAGTACCAAGTCAAAGAGGTAACACAGTTTGATAACTTTAGATGAAACCAGACTTACCTTTAGGAGAGCCAAAGCTACGTGAAAGATTATGTTCAAACCCTGAAATAGGAGAAAAAAGTGAAAATCAGCAAGATCACATCTAACTTCACAAAATTCCCAATTTCTTTCATTTTTACTTATAATACTATTATTTTTTGAATGTGAAACATTTGCCACAGGCCCATGTATCTGCGTACTGGTCCCCAGCTGGTGGCACTATCTGGGGGATACTGGAGGCTTTGGGACACAGGGCCTAGCTGGTAGATGAAGAAGACTTGAAGGCCATAGTCCAGCTTCACTTCTGCTTCCAGATCTACTGAAATGTGAGTAAGCAGCCCCGTGCTCCTGCTGCCACAGATGAGCTGTTCCTGCTGTCATGAACGCTAAGATGATGGAGAATAGCCCCTTAAATGGTGAGCTAAAATAAAAATAAATCCTTCCTCCCTTAACTGGCTTCTGTCAGGTATTTTATCTTAGTGATGAGAAAAACCAATATAAATACTAATTAAAACATGAAAAAATTCAAAAGGTATTCTGCTTCTCTGATGTGCTTATTAAAAATTTTAAGTTTGGGCCAGGTGTGGTGGTGCATGCCTTTAATCCCAGCACTCGGGAGGCAGAGGCAGGCAGATCTCTGTGAGTTCAAGGCCAGCCTGGTCTACATAGTGAGTTCCAGGACAGCTGGGGCTACAGGGAGACCCTATCTCAAAAAGACCCCCCCCCAAATTTTTTAAGTTCTACTTAATATATGAAATCATTGTCTTTTACAATGATTTCTTTTTCTTCTATCCGTCTGTGGGTTATTTTTCTGTATCTAAAGCTTGTAAAAATCATGCTTCTTGTTCAAGATGGGAAAATGATGCTAAAGTCTAATATTATTAATTGAAATCCCTAATCCCTAATCCTAGTCTAGACAACTGATTGATACATATATATCCAGAAACCGACAAAACAAGAGATGTACTCCTGATGAGAGGGAAAGATTGTATAAAAGTACATTATGTGCATCAATCAGGACTCTTACTGTTGTTCTTAGTGTCTGCTTGCTTTAGTGCTTACCTTCAAGTATTATATACAGGTGGTAGTTGGGGGAGTCCCTTGCCAGATCTCCTTTCCCTACCTATTTTTCATGAAAACCAGTTCAATATTTCATTAGCGATAAGCTAATTCTGAAAAAATCATATTGGATCTGAAATGACTGAAGAATTGTTGAACAACTTAATTCAAGGGATATGCAATCTTTTGTGTTCAAGAAAACAAATCAAAAATGATCCTTCCACGGAATGTGCTGGCTCCTTGCCATGTAAGTCATCATATGTGAGAAGAAAGATCTTTTGACTTGACATGTCTCATAAATCTAGGCTCTACTAATATGCCCTCTCCATATAATCTGACTTTTGGATATAGAACTATACTATACTAACTGTATTATACATGAAATTTCTGTCTCAAAAATCAGAGGTGATGATTAGGAATACATATCTAATATTCCTATCATGACTTCCTAAGTAATCTTTGACATTCAGGAGCCAATAATATGACATAATGGTGAAAGAAACAACTGATAAACACAATATAGTTGGTTGACTAAAATACTCCATAAACTAAATATTTTGGTTTGGGCTTACTCAGTTCTTTTTTAAGAAACACAAAATCAGAAAATAAGTACAATCAGGATCATAGACAAAACAAATTGACATTATTATACCAAATGATGATTGTTGACTGGTTATGATAATTTAATCAATGGTGGGGGTGGGGCGCAAAGAGATGGCTCAGTGGTTAAGAGCACTGGCTGCTCTTGCAGAGGACCCAGGTTCAGTTCCCAGTACCCACTTGGCAGCTAACAATCCTCCATAACTCCAGTTCCAGGGGATCTGATGCCTCTTCTGATTTTCACAGGCATTACACAACATAGATGCACTTATGTAATACACTCATATACATATAATAAAAATAATAAATAAAATATTTTAACAGGAAAGAGGACTAGTTTAGATAAAAATAGAGATTAAAATTAAAATTGTTTTCCCAATCTAAGTTTGGATTCTCACTGACTAGTTGCTGCCCACCTGCCAAAGTCTGCAGCCTAGGATTAAAAAAGATACTGTCTCTAACTGTCAAACCCCTACATCATAACTGCAAAGCAGAATGAATTATCATAACTGAGTACTTACCAACTTGTCATTAGGCTAAATCCAATATGTGTCTGTTCTTGCTTTTCCAGTCTATGCTCAAAACGTTAAGTTTCTCGTATGTTTCTCTAGTCCTCTCGAATGCATAATGTTCTGGTACTTTCCCTTAAGCCTCCACTCCTCTCCTGCCCAAATCCTTTCACAGCTTCACTGAATGCTCAACCCACTGCAAGCTCAACTAACTTGGCTGTTATTCACAACTTACTATGTACCTTTTTGTTTTTATAGCAATAGAGAAACTTCAATGTTTCTCACAAGTGCATGTTCTATAATTCTCAGGTTTTAGAGAATAAATGTAACTAGCCCAAGGTTATATACATTCACAGTAGCAGAACTGGATAACCTCCACCCCATCTTGTGATGTCTAATCTAATGACACCTCACCAAACAGTGCTGCCATAATGCACAGTAAGTGATTATTTAGTAAGCTACACTAGCTATCTGAAATTTTCTATAGTTGATTCTTTTCACTATGTATGCAACAAGATCAACTCACATAATCATCCTCAAATTACAGCAAAAACTACTTTTCTTTAATTACAGTTGGTTTTCTTTAAACAAACATTGGGGGCTGGAGAGAGCACCAAACAGTGCTGCCATAATGCACAGTAAGTGATTATTTAGTAAGCTACACTAGCTATCTGAAATTTTCTATAGTTGATTCTTTTCACTATGTATGCAACAAGATCAACTCACATAATCATCCTCAAATTACAGCAAAAACTACTTTTCTTTAATTACAGTTGGTTTTCTTTAAACAAACATTGGGGGCTGGAGAGAGGGCTCAGTAGTTAAGAGCACTGGCTGCTCTTGCAAAGGACCCAGGTTCAATTCCTAGCACCCACATGGCGGCTAACAACCATCCATAACTCCAGTTCCAGGGGATCTGACACCATCTTC